CCTTCGAGCCGGAGTTGAACCAGCGACCTAAGGATTCCTGTTCTTGTGAACCTACAGTCCTCCGCTCTACCAGCTGAGCTATCGAAGGTACATTTGCTGCCTGACATCGTTGGCATTAACTATTTATGAACCTGCCAATGTGAGGACAATTTTTTTTTTTGTCTGACGTCACTTGTGTGTATTCTGAACACATAAAGAGAAAGTATTTCCTTCGAGCCGGAGTTGAACCAGCGACCTAAGGATTCCTGCTTTTACGAACCTACAGTCCTCCGCTCTGCCAGCTGAGCTATCGAAGGTCACATTGTATGATTCAAGTGAAATATTCAAACGTTCTTTCAAATTGCATAACTGAACACTTTTCTCTTCATCTATCCAACCTGAACTAATGCAAATCACATTCACAAAAGCACTGCCGAGGATAAACATAGAGATGACAGGAGACTTTGCAAATAAACATTCTCATCATTCTTTATTTTGAGAATTTCACATTTTATTAAAATTCATAGAAAATTTGAATACCACCTCACTTGCTTTAATGTGCTTTTGTCTTTCCTCACAATGGTATTAAGTCATCTAGTAAAACCAAACAGTGATCACACAATATTACAAGGCTACTGCTTAACTTCACTGAACACAGAATATCACACTCGACACTATAACAGAATAGTATTTCTCAAGGTGTTTTCATATAAATTTGATCTTTACAAACAACAAACCCAATGTTAGCTCCATGAAGACTTCATGCTGTTTGCCAAAGTTTGGATTTTGTAGATCTGGTAAATTATGGTATAATGTGGTAAACCAAAAAACAGACTTTGATGCTATTTAAAACCTTGAGTCATTTCACACCACATTCCCCTATATGGGCTGTGCTTCTAATCCAGCAACTGCTACTTAAGTTACAACATAAATTCATATCATCAGGCAGGAATGATATTGTAAAACCCTTGTTGATGGTTTTGAGATCTTCGCCATAGGTGGAAGTATCTGATAGACAGTCTGACCTCTGAGTTGCTATGACCTGAAGAGGGGAGGAGCGGGCGGGGGAGCCAGGCTAGTGGTTAGGTGAACTGGTGTGCTTGGGGTAACTGATGTAACGTGGTGGGTCGTCATGTTCAGGAGAGCCAATACTGTTGCTGGATGAGTCATCCATCGAGGGATCCTTCAAAAAACAGGGTGAATTCTTCACATGCAGCTGAGCAGATTTCATTCAGTATAAGAGTATTTATTGCTTCTAGATTCATGAGCCCTCTCTGTCCACATTCAATATCCTGTTGGAAGTTTCACAATAAACATCTCACCTTTGGTTCTCTACATTGTGCCCAGACGTTTGTGAAACTATGCATTGTAACAAGTTGTTAATGATAGTAGTTGTTACTAACAACTACTATCATTGGTCATTACCTGGGGGCAAAAAGCCAAACTTCCACTATTGATATTGTAAGTCAGAGAATCTAATAAAAACCAGATACCTTTTGCTGCAGGATGTAAAGTGACGTTACTGCATGAATTCCATTTCCATTATGCTGTGTCGATTTTGGAAGCACATCATCTGTGGCAAAGCACAAAATATTGAGCAGTCATTCACGTGCGTCGCCAGATTTTTTTATTTCACTTTTTCATTAATTTTTAGCCCAGTGGCAAGTTCATCTATTACAACAATACCGTACCTCTCTTTTTGATTGTTGGGCGATGAGAGAGGTCATACAAGCTGAGAGGCTTTGTAGGTGGGTGTCTTGGCCTAACAAAGACAAAATGTTACCAATGCATAAGTCATAATTTAGTTTATTTGCACTCCAGACATGTTTTTCTAAAATCAGAGTGACGCTACTTAGGCGTGATTTGTGTGCTGAGTAGCAATTCTTACTTTTTGGAAGGCGTCCAGCAGGCACATACTGTTACCAAGGTGATGAGCAGGAAGATGCCTCCAGTGGAGAGAATGATATAAAGGGAACTTCTTCCTGTTTGCATATTCAAGATCACAGCTACTGAATATTAATAATGAACACAACAACATGGAAACATGCAAGAAATAGTTTTACATTATATGATTGTTGAAGTATATTTACAAATCTGGAGTTAAAGCTAGATTCAGCTATAGTAGCAGTTTGGCTCTATAAGGGTTCTGATCATAAAATGTATATACTATATGCAACACACTGTAACTGATAACCATGACAGTATCACATACTGTAGACAGTCAGTCTGATCGGTAGGCTAGTTCCATTCCCCACAGGATTTTCCACTGTGCAGCTATAGATGTCGTCATCCACCATCAATACCCTTGTTATGGTCAAGAGCTTCTGGTCAGGTGACAAGATGAATCTTGTCTCATTGGTCTGTGGCTTTCCGCCTTTGAACCACCTGTACGTAGTCCTGGTTCCGTTGTCATGGGAGCAGTTGAGGACGACATTTTCACTGAGCTCCAGGACTGATGAAGACTCCATGTGGATGTAGGGCCTTGATATAGGTTCTGAGTACAGGTGACAGTAGATACAAATGGTTTTTAACATGTGAATGGACAAAAAAGAAAAGCAAACATGCTGTCTCCGAATGTCAAGATCTAAAATACATCACATCAAACAGAAAAATATCAGAAAAAGACTGTGGATATTTGTATCTAATACTGTTGTTATTTTGAATTCATAGTTCTAACCATTTGGGCTATTTTGCAGAAATACGATGGAAACACAACACTAATAACTGATTTCTTACTAATGCAAATAATTATGACCACTAATCCACAGTCCTATCTTTCTTCAAGCATGATGTCATTAAGCTTTTATTTCAAAACCTAAACCTAGCTCTAAAACCTGGAACATGAATAATGTGATGTGCACCAAGGCTCCATCTTAGGCCTTGTTTTATTTTCATTATAAATGCTTCGGCCAGAGCGCAGTTACATATTGTCACATATAGTTGAGTCAACAATCTTTAAACTAAATCAGATAGATGTTTGCTAACACACAGGTGCACATCAAGGAGATGTGATTGTAGCCTGACATTACCCTCACAGAAATGAACAAAGAAATTGTCCTCCTACCATCCACAGAGAGTGTGATGCTACCTTCTCCTGTGAAAGTATCATCTGTGATAGAGATCTCCACGTCATATTTCCCATCATCAGAGAGTCTGAGGTTGTGGAGAAGCAGAGTCCCATTCTCAAATACAAGGATACGGTCGCGATATTCAGGTCTGAGGGTTCCGATGATGTCGGTTCCGATTGACTGGACAACAGTGATAGACTTTTCCCTCTTGAGCTGCCACTTGATTACTGGCAGGTCAAGGCTGAAACTACTGTAGCAGACGGAGAGGACAGCCTCTCCTCCTACTGAACCTCTGATCAGAGAGTTGGGGATCGTCATGTTCACTGCCAACACCTCACCTGGAGAGAAGAGAGGTTCCTGTGTTAGATTTTCATATCCACACAATTTCAATATAGCTCAACTAATGTAATAGAGATTGACACATGACTCATGACAAATCACTTGTCTACTGAACTCTGCCATACAAAGGCAGAACTGTAACTATTGTGGTAATCTAGTTTGTGGTACCAGTAGCATTGTATAGCATTATATAAAGAGTGTCTATACATGTGTTAGTATCCTGCTTTTGACCCTTTTCCTGTTTTTGATAATATTCAGGATATGGCTTCCTGATTTTCCATACACCTGTATACATGATCATAACAGTATGTAGACTTGTGTTCCCGCAAGTGGACCTTCATTTCTCACGAATCTTAACCACCATTGAATCTTTTTTAAACCTGGATAACATGTTGACAGGCAATGAAATTCTGATTTCTATTAGGGTAGTCCAGGTTGTATATCCAGGTTTATTGAAAGGAAGATATGGATAAGGACTTATCGGGTCTTTGAAACTGGGATTTGTTGTTTACATGTGCAAAAAATAAAAATACTTCAAAAACACTAGTGAGTCTGGAAACACAATCAAATAGGTGTGTACTCTCTTTAGTCCTATAGACTCATTGATATACTGTATATGGGGTCGACAACATTATAGAAAGACCTATCAGCATATAATTTAACAACCTGGTAAATATAGCAGGCTGTTAACTGCAATAGCACAATCATTATTAACAGTTGCAAGATGGTAATGGTCATCAATGTGCATATCAGTGTTGTTGTTTTTTCAATTACAGCGGGTAATGGAGTTATATCTTGTGTGTTCATCACGCCCCATCGCTGCTGTTTACTGGAGCCAGTTTTCATGGCACATCCACATTACAGCCGTAACAGCCATCAGTCCATGGGATGGGCAAGCATGAGCCAACAAAAGTGAGGATTGTTTGTTCAAATTTCCTCCCTGGCAGTTCATGAAAAGAGCTCTGCGAGCAATCCAGATGTCATGCTAGCTTTGCAGAAACAGAGCAGCTCAGTGACTCTGGTGCCACAACAATAGCAGCACAGGGATTAATCACAGCCACAGCTGAAAATAACTGGACATCTGAAAACTGCTTGTCTAACAGCATGAAGGCACGATTACTGTGATACTTGCACAGGCTGGATACAAAAACGCCCACATAGTCTGATGTAACCAAATACCCCAGTAACAAATACTACCTTTGTTATGTCTATAATGTGCAGTTTTCAAAGAGTTGCAGATCAAACTATTTTTCTCATGCTATCAATCATTGTTGCATATTACACATAACAACGAAGACATTAGCACAAACCTCTATTGTGTCAAACCCTGCAAAAATCAACTTGTATTTATATCAAGTATGCAACTTTAACAAACACAATTCTGTTACGTCTTTTTGGTTGCAATTTCTTCAAATACTCGCTAGTAATATGATGAGGTATCCCAGTACTGAAAATCTGTAGTTAAAAAGTTATATTTACTAACTGCAAATTCATGATTTCCTCATGCTAAAAACAAAATAAACAAAATGAAATGGCAACCACATTTCAAAACATCATCATTGTTGCTTTTCTGCTACATTATAAACTGTGATTTCATTAACATGCAAGTGAAAAGTGAAACATCACACTATTGTGAGGGAAAACAATGAGATCGATTTAGAATAACAGCAGCAAATTTTAATACAACTATGTACCAAATTCTAAATTAGGAAATGCGACATACCTGAATTGAAGAGACCAATAGACGCAAGCAGTACGATTTTGGAAATTATTTTTGCTTTCGAAGGAGCCTCCTTCTCTGACTTCATCTTTGGTCTCTGAGCTTTGTTTTCCTCCCAGACAAGCAGCATAATCTGTGACTGTGAGCAGGACAGAGGACACAGTCAGTTATTCAGGCTCTGCAGGGACTGAGTACATGCTGTTCTCAAAAGACGCTGCAGAAACAGGACAAAAGTGCATGTGTCTCCATGTTTATTTTCTGTTTCTTTAGTTTCATGTGGCTATGTGATAGATTCATTAGCAAAACAAACGTTTAAACACAGTCATACGCTGATTCTGTGTCTTTTACCACACAAGTTTGAAGTGTGTTCAATCAAACATGATGTTTCATCAGTGATGGAGCTGAACCTTTTAAGTATAATTGAAGAAAATATAGCCAAAAATATTATATTAAATTTTTTTAAAATGTGCATTGTTAAAATTAATTTTTACTCAGTAGCGTCCTTCTTTCTGCCTTTCGCTTTCACATGTTACTGCTTTTTGGTGCATGATAAGCTGGGATCTAATGCATTAAGCACATGCACACGTGCAAACCACAAATACTATACTGCACCATGGTAATCCATCAAGTATCTGTAGAGGTATTTGATTACACTTTACATCCTCATATTAATAAATCATAATAGATAATAACATAAACAACATTTTGTGTTATCACTTAACAATTACAATGCCTTTTATATAGAGAGACTGCAGTATAAAGAGATAAGGAATGACAATATTTATTGAAAATGAGATCAATATACTGAAGTACTCTAACTGTTGTTGTTGTTTGTCTGAATTAAATACAAATGTTGGCAATGTGTAAATTATATTACAATTGTATAACATATATATAATTTCAATGACAAATATGTTTTCACTTTTACAGAATTGTCAGTTAGGTTACAACTCAATACCGACGCAAGCTAACACTGTAGTTTTACAAACCGGAAAGGGTTCTTTTTTTCATAGTAGTCATTCATCTTTCCGAGCGTAGACGATCTTCGTTTCAAACATGGCGACCAGCATGTGAATGTCATGCCATGTCAATCCACCGCCTGGATGTCTTCATGTGTGTTTATAATCTGTGCGTGAAGGCTGACACGTGAACTTCATGTTGCGGGATTGTGACTTCATTCACCGCAGACACGTAAGAACCAGAAACAACACAACTCTGTAGCTGCACCGCTGTCACATTAGCATTCTAGCTAACCAGCTAACCAGACGGGACTAGCGATGGAACTGGATCAGCAGCTGAGAAACGTGAGTCGCGTTTTCTTACACTGGTAAATACATCGAGTTTATCTGTTCGAGAACCTGTTGAATGTTGAGTTTGAGCGACTTTGTCTCTTATAGCTGCGGGATTTCCTGATGGTTTACAACCGGATGACCGAAATCTGCTTCCAGCGTTGCACCAGCAACTTCAACTACAGGAACCTCACCATGGACGAGGTACCAGCACCGCCACAGATATATGTGTCAGACTCGTTGTTTTTGCTTTGCTGTGTTTACTTCCTGTTTCTCTACTTATTCAATACGTGGCCAGAAGTATATGGACACATGAGCAGCACCTCAAGTCTATGTTACAGTGGCCGAGAGAGCTCAGCCCACTGCAGATTAAGAAAACACGTGCAAACTCAGACTACATCTTGCTGCAAACACATGCAGATACAGAAATGTGCTGCAATTTGCTAAAATGACACTGGAAATGTTTCCAGGGGACTCAAAAAAGCAATGACCTGAAATGACTGACAGAAGGAACATAAAAATTGATCACTTAAAGACAAGATTAACGAGTGGTGTCCTTAATATGAATAGATGGTAACAGGTTGGGTCTGGTGGGGAGCTCAGTGGGTGCAGGTTTTCAAAAATGCTCCTTTGAAACACTGTTGATGTGGACTCATGACCTGATGTTGTCTGTTCAGGAGCGCTGCGTGGACAGCTGTGCAGGGAAGCTGATTCGCTCCAACCACCGCATAATGGGCGCCTACGTGCAGCTGATGCCTCGGATGGTGCAGCGCCGGATGGACGAGATGGAAAGCAAGGCTGCGGAGAACGCCAAAGCCGCAGAGGCAGCTGCTGCTGCATCTCTGGAGCCTCCTGCTGCAGAGGCCTCATCAGCATCTCAAATCCCTGTCGATGCATCTCTACCCCCACAAACACCTGCACTGTTACCCCCTTTAGCGACTGATGTTGGACTAGAGGCACAAGGCTCAGTTTTAAAGCCAGCAGGTTTAGAGATTCCTGTTGAGCTGGATGCTGCTTTATCCAGATCCACTGCAGCCACAGAAGTCAGTTTCTCAGCAGCCACTGCGTTCACACCTGCCAATGAAGCTATAAATCTTCCAGTACTTAATGAAGCTGCCAGTGGACCGTCTTTTACAGAAGTCTTTCCACAGCCGCCCATAGCTGGTGTCCCAACAGACTTAAAGAGCTCAGTGTCTGTGTTAATGCCATCTACAACATCCTCACTATCAGAAGACATGCCTGTGTCAACAGTCTCTGCACCTACTGTGTCAAGCCAAGAGAGAGCGCCAGAGGCTCCTCCTCCGTCAGGCCAGTGATGATGCCAGGTCTGGGTGGAGTCCCAACTCCCACCACAAACAACCCAAATCTGCCAGGCAACTCATCACTGATCGTCCCAAATGTCACATTGTTCTCTGTACTGCTGAAAGGAATAGTGATACATAGATTAAGATAAATTCTAAAACAACTTGTATCATATAATCATGTCATACAATCTCTTCTTTTCTTTCCGATGCGACAATTAGCTTCTTTTCTGTGTTTTCACATCATATTTTAAAAATGTGTTTTTTCACAAAACTATTTTAAAAAACCTCAATATAGACTCTGGCAATGTGTGACAGGTGAAATCCTAGGTATTATAATACTATGTTGTTTTATAAAAAGCAATAACAATAATGCATTCAATTGTGTCAGTGGCAGTGATCAGTCCCCAGTCTGCAGTCATGGATTGCGGAGGCCTGGTTAAATTAAACTGGACTTTCAAAAGCCTGCATAGCACAGTCTAATTATTCCCTAGACTCAGACAATTGGTGTGTAGTTGGATGACAACAGCATGAATGATTATAATAAAAGAAAAAGGTTTCATTCATGTTTTCTTCATTTAAATGCTCCACTATCAACATGTATTTGTTTGCAAAAATAAAAGGCTGCTTCGCACTGCTGGGCGTCCTAATGCAGCAGTGGGCTGCAGCGTGTACTCTCTGTGCTGTGGGTGTGAATTCAGTCCATGAACCTCATTTCCTGCCTCTGCACTGTGCACGTTATGTCCTCTGTAATCAAGCAGCAGAACCACGATAAGCGATCTTAAAGCATTCCTAGTGGCTCCATTCATCCACCACAATAATAATATAGTTGCACCATAATCAAAAACCAATGAGATTTATTGCCCCTTTCAGGAGCTAACTAGTAGGAGAAAGACGATTTGGTATTTTCAGTGACACATGGAGTTAGTGCCATTTCAGTTTGTCTTTTGTCTAGAAGACATTTCAACATGTCAGTGGGAAATGCAGAGGAGTAATTATTCAAATGAACAAAGGTCTACTCTCAGTTTTTAACATCAGCATCAAATTACATCAGTATGAAATGTAGCAAATGCAACAAAGCCCAGTTTCCTGCCAGTTAATTTACATGTATGGAATTGTTCCATAATACTAATAATAACAGTAATGAGAAGAAGAAAATGAGGAAGATGAAAAGGAAAAAAGGAAGAAGTTGAAGAAGATGATTATGATGATGCAGAAGAGGATGAAGAAAAGCAAGCAGATGTTGAAGAAGTAAAGGAAGATGTTAAAGATGATGATGATGAAGAAGAAAGGGAAGAAGGTGTTGAAGGAGAAGAAGAAAAGGAAGAAGTTGATGATGATGATGATGAAGAAGAAACGGAAGAAACTGTTCTCTGTCCAATCTCCATGGAGACAATCTACTTATCTCACCTGAGCTCAGTATCTTCTCCCATGCCCCATGGGTTCAGCGTCACCGCATTGTCTCCAGCAGGGGGCGCTGTTGTGTGGGCGTCCCGGGACAGTAGCTCCTCAGCAGTAGCCCACATCAACAGAGAGGATCGGGGCGTGGACTCAGCGACCATTCCCTTAAATCTGAGGAGACGAGCGACGGTGGGAAAAAAGAAAGTGAGGAGAAGAAGTCGACCGTGCTGCAGCTGGTAAGATCATTCAGAGCACTTTTATCTGGAGGCTAAAGATTTGAGTTCTCTGTGAGCAGCAGGTTCGGTTCTGGGTGAACTTCACTTTGACTTTTCTAACAATAGATTTCAAAGTGATCCTTGAACAGGCCAGCCCATCCGAGTCCGAGAGGAAACATGGGATGGGAAACTATTTCAGTTCTTCAGGCTGATATTCAGGCTTCATGGTTTCTCAAAGTTGGAGTCAGCGTTCAACTTTAAAAAAAAAATAGGATGAGGATGAATGTATGGGAATGAACCAATAACCTACAGCCTGACTGATAATGGTTTTAACTGGTTGTAACTGATGTTGTTTCTTTCTCTCATTTTTGTTTAATTACTCTTATTCTTATCATTCTTATTCTTCTTATTGTATGAATGTTCTTAATAACTTTTAACAATGACTTTATTTATAGAGCACTTTTAAACAAAGTGCTGCACAACAAGAAAACAAGTGGTTAAAATGGTTAATATTGTTTAAAGGGTAATATTCTCCTTCTCTTCTTAGTATTCTTCTTAGTATTATTAATGTTCCTAATAACTTGTAACTTCATTTATAGATTCCTTTAAACACAAAGAACGAAGTGCTGCACAACAAGAGAACTAATGCTTAAAATAGTTAATACTTCTTCTTCTTCTCCTTCTACTTATTATCATAATTATCATGTACTTTTATTTTTATCACACATTCATTTCACTTCATGGACATGAAGTTAGCCAATAAGGCTCACGAGACACTGAGAAATATTTGTCTGTTTGCCTAACTTTATCAGCCCCCTGGAAGATAAACAGTGCACGACAAAAAAATGTATCTGCAACAAACTATAATAAGATTCTTTGAACTCTTTTTTTGCAGGCGACATCTCCTGATCCTGACAGAGATTAAAAGAGCAAAGAGTCAAGATCAGGCCCCGGCTGCATAACCATGGATGACATCTTCACGCAGTGTCGGGAGGGGAACTCAGTGGCTGTTCGCCTGTGGTTGGACAACACAGAGAATGACCTCAACTTGGGGTAAGAGGATATATACCTGCACACACCTCACTCAGATGTTATACAAAGCCTTGACTGCAGCAGCAGCAGCAGCAGCTGCCTCTGTCTCCTCGTGGACGTGAGGGTCTTGCAGTGTAGTGATGTCAGTGTGAGCAATAACAGCCTGGAGTGAAGTTTCTAATGATCGGAGGAGCAGACGTACCACATTTGGTATGGTAGGTGAGGGATTCTGTGCTGGTGTGTGTGTGTGTGTGTGTGTGTGTGTGTGTGTGTTTGATCCCTGCTTCAAATAGTTTCCATATTGTGCTCTCCCAGCCACTCCACTTACTGCTGAACATCACCCAGCTTTGGTAATTCCAGTCCAGTTTGTACTTTTTTCCCCCTTTCTTTTTGGATTTCTCTCCATATGATGTCATACCCAAAAAACGTGTGTGTGTGTGTGTGTGTATAAAAGCAGTGGGTGATTTATGGAGGTTGTGCGATGACGTAAGTGACACAGACGAGAAAATACAACCAAAAGCTCGTCCTACACTCCACTGAGAGACTTCACATTAAAGTGCTTCTTTAATTCGGTTGGCAGAAAATTAACCAATAGCACATTTGATAATAGAATAATTGTTTTATATTAAATAACTGTTTTATACTGTTGGTCAGACTAAAAATAACCACTTTAATGTTGTTGGCCTGTTTTTTGTCAACAAAATTTTTTTTAAAATTCAGAATGTGACAACAAACACAATTAATTATTCTAAATTGACAAATAGAATGAATTTTCATTTAATTGTTAAGGGTATACAGCTTTTTTCATGCCTGTTTCCACAATTTCCTCACTGCAGAGGAGCTAGAAGACCACATGACTTGGTTATCTCATTCTTGGGCCAGACCATATATGTGCAGTTTGTTGACGTTGACTCTGAGGGCTACGAAGCTGCTGGCCAACCACGCAGCAGCCAAGACCATTTCCTCTCTTCAACTTCCATACAGGGCCAGGCCCTCGCTGACAGAGCTGCAGTCCCACATAAACATCTGAGAGACCAGTCATTACGCTGGAGGGAGGCCTGCTTTGACTGAGGCGGCTCAACTGTGTTAACCGGCCACTTTTTTCTGTCTCTCAGAGTAACCAATTATATGTTTTATATAGGAAAATAAATGTGGCTGAGTAGGAACTGAAATTCCAGATCCCCTCAAGGAGCAAACAACACAGGAAGACACATAAAAAACATTAAACTGAAGAGTATTTTCTCCTCTGTCATTCCTGAGCATTTTTTTTTGTTGCTTTTTATAGCACACAGACTGTGAATTGTCTGTGGACCAGAATCTCCAGAGAATGTGACTAACCGCTGTTTCACTTCAGTGTGAGCTGGTGCTGCAGCTTTTCCCCACAGCCCTGTTGAGTTTTATTGTTAATGCAGTGTAGACTTTGTGGCTTTGCGGGGAGTTGCAAGAGGCCACGGCAGCTGCCTTGTGGGGGTCATCTCATGTAAAGCCCTCAGCTGGGTGAAGGGGCCGGTCGCACATAGGTGATGGTTTGGCTCCATTTGGACTGCGGCAGAGCAGTGTACGCCTTCTGTCTGTTGGTGTCTTTGCATATGTTAGCCGGCATTCCAGCTTGTACAGACATATATATCACCGAGCCAGTCGTCAGATGGGTACAGGCTGCAGGCAGGGAGAGGAAGCATGCACTAAAAGTCTAAATAAAGACTGGTAGGTAGTGGGTGTGACAACCTGTGTCAGGGTGATCCACACATATAGTATTTTGTCAGCTGATACTTGTTTAGGGTCTCACTAACTTACGCCTCAAAGCAACATGTCGTCGGGATAATTCAACCAAAAATGAAAATTCAGGCATTACCTACTCACCGATGGGGGGGTGGCTGAAGTGTTTGAGTCCATAAAACACTTTTGACTTTCAGGGGTAAATAACGTTGCAGACAAATCCAATACAATTGAAGTAAATGGTGACCACTTCAATTGAAGTTAGTGGTCACCATTAACTTCAATTGATTTGTCTGCAATTTTATTTGCCCCTGAAACTCCTAAAGTGTTTTGTGGACTCAAACACTTCACCCACCCCTCCATCGGCATAGTTGTGAGTAGATAATGAGCGAATTTTCATTCTTGGGTGAAGTATCCCCTTAAAGTGTTATAATCCAAGTCAGGCTTAGATTGGTGAGCAACTATTTTTTGGATTTGTCCATCCTTACTTGCCCTTCTCTCTGTGCGTCTTGTGTTTTAGTGACGACCACGGCTTCAGCCCCCTGCACTGGGCATGCAGGGAAGGGAGGAGTGGCGTTGTTGACATGCTCATCATGAGAGGCGCTCGCATAAACGTAATGAACCGTGGAGATGACACACCGTTGCATCTCGCCTCCAGCCACGGACACAGAGACATCGTGGCTAAGGTAGGCACAAGTCAGATGTTTAGTGTGGGTTCAGCTGCACCCTACATCTGTGTGGAGAAAACATTGTCAACTTTGTTGGTCAGGTTTCTAACATTATAACCTGTGTGTGGCAGCTGATTCAGTGCAAAGCAGATCCAAATACAGTCAACGAACATGGAAACACACCGCTCCACTACGCCTGCTTTTGGGGTCAGGACGAGGTTGCAGAGGTGCGATGCAAAACACACACAGACACACACACCAACACAGACACACAATCTGTTGGCTAAAAAAAGGCCCTCTTGTGGGCAGAAATGTCCATTACAGTGTTGTTTTTGTTAAACACCTTGTGTATTTGTTTTAAACACTATGATATAATCTAATCTGTACACAGCGTAGTTGAACCCCTCTTTCTATTCTAGGACTTGGTGGCCAGCGGTGGCCAGGTGTGTATGTGTAACAGGTATGGACAGACACCTCTGGATAAGGCCAAGCCTCACCTCAGACAGCTGCTTCAAGGTCAGAGGTCATTTGTCTGCATTTTAACAAATTGACAGGCGAAAAAGTTGCATTTTATTTTTTTAAATTTCTTCTTTTGTGTTTTTTTTTAGAAAAGGCAGAGAAAATGGGCCAGAGTATGACCAAAGTCCCCTATAAGGAGACGTTTTGGAAGGGCACAATGCGAACACGACCTCGTGAGTAGCAGGCATTTCATAAAAAAGGAATTAATCAACGTGTCCAATCAAGACATTTCATGAATTATTCGTGTTTTCGCTCTTTCAGGTAATGGCACCCTCAACAAGCAGGCTGGTATTGATTATAAGCAGCTCTCTCTCCTGGCAAAGATCAATGAAAACCAGTCTGGAGAGGTCAGTGGCACTCTGCTGTGAGTGTGTCAGTCTTTTTTAGAATTCTTTCAGCTCCTGTGTTGTTGACCACACTGCCTGCTGTGTCTGCAGTTATGGCAGGGTCGGTGGCAGGGGGACGAGATCGTCGTGAAGGTGCTGCAGGTGAGAGACTGGACCACCAGGAAGAGCAGAGACTTCAATGAGGAGCATCCCAAACTCAGGTTTCTGGCTTTAACAGTATTTCCTGAATAGACACGTCAGGATTCCTTTACGGGCATAATGGGGGTAAAGTACCTCTCAATCTGTTTGCTTGCAGAAACTGAGGCTAATGCATTTGGCTCAGCAGGAGTCTCCTCTCTCTTCATGTCCGGGTATAAACACAGTACTAATGAGGTTGGATTTGACTGATTGGTGGTGATTGAGGTCTGAGAATGTGGGATCTTGTGCAATGAGCGGAGGAGTTTTTAATTGTCAAAGGTCAAAAGAATTGGTTGTGGTTGGTGAAGTGGTGAAGAATTACTTTTTGCTGTGTCATGTGTTCCGCTTGGCTGTGGAAATCAAATCCCACAAACATCCCCATTGTTAGTTAACATGAGGGCCGGCATTACATGAAATTAAATTCATCATAGTTCAAATGGAATCTTATTTTGAATCATGTTTGTCATTGTTGCAATGACCCACGTTGATATTCTTGTGACAACTTTTACCTGAAATTATCACCCAAAGGTAGAATCAGGCCGATATGAATCTTTCTGGGCTGCTGCTGATACTTAGGGATTAAAAAAGGTATATTGGCAGATACATACAAAAAACAATTGGCAATGAATCTTATGAAGTCGTTATCTAACCCTCAAACCCCCCCCCCCCCCCCCAAAAATGTAATTGAGGCTTGATATGTTACAGTTCAAATAAATAGAACTTGAATTCAGAAAATAAATTATTCTAAAATACATAATTAAATATCTTCCCAACATTATTATTAGTTAAATATATGGTTTAATATGAGTGCATATTGGCGCATTCCTCTGCTCAGTCTGACGGCCTATTTCACCATGTTGAAAAATAATTCCCAAATCTGCCCATTTATCCAGATCAGCTTCCCATCCAGGAAAATTCTTGGAAATCCGTTAAGTGTGTAGTTTTTGAGCTATCCTGAAAAAAAGAGAAGAAAGTGAGAAGAAACCTTGAAACAAAACCTTAAAAGGACAGGGAGAGAGACACTTCAGAACGGGCCAAGTCAAAGAATGATTCTCCCCCAGTGAGTGCAGAGGAGTGTGCAACTGTAGGAGCTTGGCAGTGTGATGTTGGCTTTAGGTCATAAAGCATTCTGAGCATCCTGAAAAATTCAGCAGCATAGAGCTGCAGATAAATAAAAAAACTACTGCTTAGTTAGTTAAGATTCAATTCAAGATTCTAAATTAGTCTTTCAGGCCTGCAGATGATACAGAGGTGGGAGAGAGAGAGAGTTTCCTTCATGCAGAAAAAGCTTCTAGGACATTACTCGTCTTTTTTTTTAAATGGGTTTCCTCTTCTTTTCTTATCAGCTGAGAGAGACTTTCCTTTTGGCAGAAGATATAAATACCAACTTGTTTCTTCTTTTTTTAACATCACACACACTTTCTGTCTGTCGCGTCTCCATAGGATCTTTTCTCATCCGAACATTCTGCCTGTTCTCGGGGCCTGTCAGTCACCTCCATCTCCTCACCCCATCATCATTACCCACTACATGCCATATGGATCCCTCTACAACATCCTCCACCAGGGCACCAGTAAGTCATTCCAGCATGAAATGGATCTGAAACCCACCATACTGTCTACTTTGTCCTCTGGCTTCATTGTATCCTCCTCCTCTTCCTCAGCTCTGGTGGTCGACCAGAACCAAGCAGTGAAGTTTGCATTGGACATCGCCAGCGGCATGGCTTTCCTCCACACCTTAGAACCAATGGTTTCCCGGCTTTACCTCAACAGTAAGCATATCATGGTGAGTACTGTCTTTGACCACTCAGACCTCGTTCAGACCTGCTCTTAACATCCGTCCTGCGATCCGATCACTCAGACCACATTGGGAGGTGATGTTAGACCCATGTAGCCACATTCTTTGCGCTGTGTCCCCCCACCCGCTGCAGTTTCACAATGAATTTAATGAACCATCTTTTTATGACTCCCAGTGACCTACGTTGATTTGTGTGTGGTCACCATCAACAATATTAACACCGACCAAAACATAATGATTATTACTGACCACTTGTGATCGGATCTCTCAGGACGGATGTTGATACCAGGTCTGAACAGGGCCTATAAGAGTTTAGTCTATTAGTGCCACTACCCACTGTGAAGCTGATGTGATTGACCTGCAGATTGATGAGGACATGACAGCCAGGTTAAGCATGGCAGATGCAAAGTTCTCCTTCCAGTGTCCGGGTCGTATGTACTCTCCAGCGTGGATGGCCCCTGAAGGTATTCTCTTTTTTTTTTCTCTCTTCCTGTTCCCATTCTGAGTCATTCATGTAAAAAAATCCTGAAGTCTATAATTTGTTCTCTCTTGAGTGGTAGCCATGCTGTCCATATGGGGAGTAGCCTGGGTTACAGAATAAAAATAAACCCTGCGAGTTGTCCAGTTATATTCCTGGTTTTCCACGTCCCTCTTTGTTTTGTCTTCAGCGCTGCAGAAAAGGCCTGAAGACATCAACAGGAGATCCGCCGACATGTGGAGCTTTGCGGTGTTGCTATGGGAGCTGGTCACCAGGGAGGTGCCCTTCGCTGACCTCTCACACATGGAGATTGGCATGAAGGTAAATGGGTGCAGTGTTTATCCACCCACAGATGTACATCCTCGTCCATGTGTTTCCAAAGATTTTGACTTCCGCCCTCTTCCCATTTCCCAGGTGGCTCTCGAGGGTCTTCGGCCCACTATTCCTCCAGGGATTTCACCTCACATCTGTAAACTTATGAGGCTCTGCATGAACGAAGACCCAGCCAAGAGACCCAAGTTCGACATGATCGTCCCCATCCTGGAGAAGATGCAAGACAAGTGAAGGCATCAGCTGCAGCATGTACTCTCCTGCTATTATGTTTTTTTTTATCATCAAACCACTGTTATCATCACCATGTATCCGCTAAGCTGCTGTAAATAATGTCAGTGACCACTTCAGCCACACAATTCAAATCTGCTTTTTGTGTATAATTTAAAATTGAGGTATAAATGTTCTTTAGCGAATCTATGAGCTCTTTTATTATATCAAGAATTGAAATGCTGGAAGCTGTTAAGTCCAGTGTGGAAAATATTCAGCGATGTGTCAGGCACAATTGCTTAGAGACTGATCCAAAGAAAGTGTATAGGAACACTGCTTTTATACACATCAACAAATGCCAATGCAATAAATATTTTATATTTATGACAAACCCTTGTCGTTTTATTTTAAGATATCATCCTCCTCCGAACAATGTTAGGCTGCTGGAAAGATATTATTTCTTGCTTTTTTTTTGCAACTGAGTGATCCTGTGAAGAAGGTCACAAGATGGTGGTATGATAATTTTCAAACTACTTGAGAAATACAACGTTTTAAGGTCACAGTGAACCTCTAAACTCAGTTCTCATGCTTTTGGCATGTGACAAGTCTGTTATGATGCAGGGTAAGAGTCACCTTCATATGATAAATAACAATCACCTTTAGGTAAACTATCCCTTTAAGTAATAAGAATGAAACTTTACGGATTGGCAGAGGGAAGCTGCAGCAGGGTGGTTATTCTAGTTATTTTATATTTCTACCACAAGAACCAGACAATCATGTGAAGTGTTGTTTGGACTGGATTGAGGTACTGCATGTGCTCTTCTCACTTCTATTCTTGTTCATGTAAATACAGCAGAGGGAACTTGGGTTTATAGTTTCTGTTTGTGGAAGTGGAGAGTAAAACAAACAGAGTTGGAGGCAGGGAGGAGGGGGGGGAGCAGCTGATGAATGGTCACATGACGGGTCAGCTGACTCTGTGGCTTTCACAAGAGCGAGCAGAGAGGCTGTGATCATCACACCCGGGAGCGTGCAGCTGAGAGAGCACGAGAGGAGCTCACCGACCTGCTTTCTCACCGACTTGTGTCCACTGCTTCCCCGGCCTTCAAAGCCAGGAGACACGCCGACGACTTCCACCCTCCTCGGCCCGGGACTCATCTTTAGAGGTGCAGAGGGAGAGTGAGAAGCTAAGCTAGCGTCTTACCACTCCTAGCTTTGCTCTTCTGTTTGTGGTGAGTTACATGACTGGTTCTTGATGTGACTTCCTGGTTTGTTGTTCACAGAGGCTGCGGACGTCTCGGAGGAGACCTGTCGTCAGGACCATGAGGCGCCCCGCTGTGCCCCCCTCCTGCGGGCTCCTCGCCGGCTGCCTCGTGCTGCTGCTGCCGCTGTTGGCGTCCGGTCACCCCGCGCACACCCCGGGGAAGGACCTGGTGTTCGTGGAGCAGCTCAGGGTCGGATTCAACTGGAAAAATATCACCTGTCCCATGTGTAAAGCTGTCTTCATCATCCTTGATATCGCCCTGCTGGTAATGTGATCAGATCTCTTACTAATGATGATTTTAAGATGCTTTACACAGCCTGACTTCACCTGTGGGTCTGAGCAATGATCACTGAAATACTTTAGAATTAAACTGAGAAAAGGTCATTCTGATTAACTTTATATATGCAGCACATGAGTAAACAAGGATAAGGACATTTCAGGACTAAGGCAGACAATTTCAGGCAATTAAAATAAATAATAGTAACATAAATAAGACATGTTTGCACTCAAATATTGTGCTGCAATATAGTGATTTTAAAAGATGTCATTGATTCTGCAAGTTTCAGATCCTCGGGCAGTGATTTCCAGAGCTGATGGGCCCTGCCTGTAAAATCCTGATCACCTCAAGTCTCTGAGGTGATCAGACTCTGGGAACAGCAAGTGAAGCCCTGTCTGAGGATCTGAGGCTGCGCTGCGGCTCGTAGATTAGCAGCAAATCCGCAATATAGCTGAGTCCAGGAAGTTCAAATGTTCATTGGGAGAATCGAAGAAAAATCAATTGAATTTTATTTATATAGTTGATATTTGCAAATCACAAGTTGACGTCCTCTGCTCTTAACCCTCAACAAGAGCGAGGACAAACTACCAAAATATCCTTTTACTATAGGAAGTGAGGGATCCGTCTCCGAGGAGGGACAGAAGAGCAATAGATGTCACACGTAATAGAGCACAGCAACAAACCAGTTTACATAGATGCAGAGGTGAATCAATATTCAGTAAGTATTTATACAAAAGAAAATATTTGACAGACTGGTGTGGTTAGATTCCACGTACTTTCATTAGTTCAGTTCCAAGTTTAATTCTTGGTATTTAAATGAACACAGGGTCAAATGAAATGTGATGGATGAGAACAGATCGGCTCAGCAATAAGAGCAATGTCATTAAAATACAAATGCAATGCTGTATAACTTCTGTACATTTGAAAATTGTGTGTTCAAGATGAATAATTGATTGAATTGTCAGTGAAGCATATAGTTTCTCACACCATTTCTTGGACCTTGTTATGGCTTTTTGTTACCTCCCGTAGACTGATTCAAACGAGGAGCGCATAGCACGTGCATTTGGGGAGGCATGTATCCGTCTCCATCTGGCCGATGAGCAGGTGTGTCGACAAATAACCGAACTGTTCAGGGACGACTTCATCCGGGCTCTGCAGCAGTCCCTGCTGGGGCCCTCTGAGGCGTGTGCCATGCTGATCGGCCCCTCCTGCGGCAAGTTTGATATCTACGCAGCCTGGAACATCACCTTGCCAAAGGTCCCCAAGCCTCCTGTGAAACCACCCTCTCCTCCTAAACCTGGTTCTCCACAGAGCAGGGTCCTGTTTATAACTGACGTCCACTGGGACAAGGTGAGCGTGTGCTGCTGAGAGATTCCCCAAAGTACAATTGTTTGATTCTGGAAAATGTGGTTATACCCCTCTCTTTGTAACATAGCAGGTTTTTGTTGCATCTTAGAGTAAAGTCAGTCAGAAAGTGCATGGGCATTAAATGCAGTTTAATATAGATTTGCCCAAGAAATCTGGAACAATTAAACTAAAATTGATGGCATGCTTTTTAGTGACATGACATTGTTTTGACATCAAGTGCATCTTTAAAAATGGTTGACAGGAGTACAAAGCCGGCAGCGCCGCAGACTGCAAGGACCCTCTGTGCTGCCGTGAAGACTCTGGCTCTCCCAGCTGGAAGCGGCGAGAGGCTGGGTACTGGGGAACCTACAGTAAGTGTGACCTGCCTCTGCACACGGTGGAGAACTTCCTGGAAAATGCAGCCAGAGCCGGACCCTGGGACTGGGTGTACTGGACCGGAGATATACCAGCGCACAATGTTTGGTCTCAGACCAGGAAACAGCAGCTGTCAGAGCTTACTGTCATCTCCAGGCTCATCCAAAAGTAATTTCTTTTTCAAGATCAGCTTTGAGTGTTTTGATATAAGATTTAGATAACTGCCATTTAGTGGAATGTGTAGTTAAGCTACTACTGAAGATACATTTACCAGCAGCCACTTAGCTGTCAGAGTAGTTTTTAATAGAATAAGTGATGGAACATGGTGTTGAAATGTCAAACCTTTCAGCCATGTTGCTGTTGATTCGCAGCTGCTGGATAATGTCCTTGCTCAAACCTTAGATGCCCTTGTACTCTTGATACTCAGTTTGTTTATCCTTCAGGATATTTTTGCTTCGGCTGTTTGTCTTGTGTCACCTGGAACTGATCCAAACGTCTATTGACTTTGACCTCTTCCCTCCTGTCTTCTGTGCAGACACCTGGGACCTAGCGTGTCAGTTTATCCTGCTGTAGGGAATCATGAGAGTACGCCGGTGAACAGCTTCCCTCCGCCCTTTGTTCATGGTAACAGATCGTCGTCCTGGCTCTACAATACGATGGCAGAGGAATGGTCCGCATGGTTACCAGTGGAAGCTTTGAAGACTCTTAGGTCCTTATTATTCATTTGCTCATTTTATTTGAAAGTAAAGTTGTGCTATGGCATTGACATGCAGGTCAACAAGATATAGATGCTGTTTCTTTTATGCCTCTGAGACAGCCAGTAACTGGAGGCGTTATGTTTTTGCGTTGTCCCTCCGTCTCATTCTTGTGAACATATCTCAAGAACGTTTTGAGGACATTTCTTGAAATTTGGTACAAATGCTCAGATGGACTCGAGGCTGAAGTGATTACATTTTTGAAGTGAAAGGTCACTGTGACCTCACCAAACACATTTTTTGCCTTGTGAACAAAACATCTCCAGATCATTTTTAAGGAATCCTTCCCAATTTGGTACAAACGTTCACTGGGACTCAAAGATGAACTGATTAGATTTCAGTGGTCACAATATGTCACAAACTGCACCTGTGACCTGTGTCTGTGAAAGGCTCATTTATATTATTGGCCAACTGATAACCCTCTAGTTCCTAGATAAATGATCTATCAGTAAATGGTTTTATATCATTTATTAGGTACTTTCTTTATGTCACATGTCACTTGTTGTGTCACTGTTTACATCGCCTCACTTCCCACTGTTTGTACAGAGAAGTGATCGCATTTCATAATTCCCTTTTACAAAGGTCTGAACATGAGAGGAGCTCATCGACCTGCTTTCGAGAGTCTTTTCTCACTTTCTGATCTGTAAAACTTGTGTCCAGTGGGGAACTCCCTTCAACTCTTGTCTGTGTATGTCATTTTTTAGATACGGAGGATTCTACACGGCAAAGGTTCGGCCTGGTCTCAGGGTGGTCTCTCTCAACATGAACTTCTGTGCTCGAGAAAACTTCTGGCTGATGGTGAACTCCACTGACCCGGCTAACCAGCTGCAGTGGCTGGTCCATATACTCCAGACCAGTGAGGACAAGGGAGAGAAGGTGAGTGGAGCAACAAAAACAAAAGATGACATGAACAAAGCAGATTATGGGAAAGGTTCTATTACATTACTGAAAAAAAAAAAAGTGCAGTTGTTCAATAAACAATGTTCAACTGAAAGAGGACTGGGGGTGTTTAATGTCCCTCTTTGGCCACCTACTTCATGTTAGATCTGGGTAATGACTTACTGTCTTTTTCATGTCCCTTTCCCTCAACCAACTGGAACTGAGCATGAGATTGCAATAAAACCTGTTTTTATTAGTACTATAATCCTCCTGTATGTGGTGTCATCTTCCACTTTACTCAGGTACATATCATAGGTCACATCCCACCTGGCCTGTGTCTTGGCAGCTGGAGCTGGAACTACTATCACATTGTCAACAGGTAGCTACACTGATCATGTAAGGGAGGGAGAGGAGGACATTTTGTTCCGTACACTCAGCAGTTGTTTCTTGTGAATATACAGTATGAAGTGACTGCTAAGTTTCTGTTGAGAATGTAACATGAAACACACATTTTCACAGCATCAATTAATGATACTTGTATATTTTATCTGCAATCTTTTATCCATACTCTGGAACCCTTGGAAATGTGGTTACATTGCACGTCTCATAATCCCATCATCCATTTTCTGGACTGGACCGAATCTGGACCTTTGTATTTGTTTTACTGTCCAATTCTTCAATAATAATGTCTGAAATGGCTAAAATACCATTAGACTCATAAGGGTTCTACTGTGGTTACAGTTGCTGCATGTTGTAGCGCAACTGTCGACAACCTGAGAGATGGGACAGGTTATAAAGTTTTCTGTTCCCTGTCTTACGTCCTGCTTTTTCTTCCCAGATATGAAAGTACAATTACTGGGCAGTTTTTTGGTCATACACACACAGACGAGTTTGAAATGTTTTATGATGAGGACACCATGAGCCGCCCGCTGGGAGTGGCATTCATCGCTCCTAGTGTCACTACCTATATCAATCTGAACCCAGGTGAGTTCATAAACTAGATGAGTGATTGAACATTTCATGAGGAACAAGCAACAAAGATTCAGTTCTTTAACTCTCTCCAGGATACCGTGTCTACTATGTTGATGGTAACTACACCGGCAGCTCTTGGCTCGTGCTCGACCATGAAACCTACATCCTCAACCTCACAGAGGTGAACCACAGTCCGGGGGCTCCACTCAGCCCAGAACAAAACCCGAAGTGGACACTGCTGTACCGCGCCACTGAGGCATACGGTCTTTCCACCCTGTTCCCGTCTGATTACAACGAGCTGATGCAGGCCTTTATCAAGGATGACAGAGTCTTCCAAAGGTTCTGGTACTTCAGGCATAAAGGACACGTATCTGCGCCGTGCAAGGAGACATGCAAAACCTCAGTGCTCTGTTCTCTGCGGAGTGGGCGCGCCGATGAGCTGGAGCAGTGCGACCTGCTCAATGGTTTTGGAGGAAACTTGGCGAAGGCTGCCAGAACAACTCTCTGCTGATCTGAGGAAGTTTGGACTGGATGGTTGAATAGAGAAAAGAGGAGTTGGACCAAATAAGGAAATTGAGTCACATTTTTTTTTCTTGATGCTGGTGGGTCGACAAAGATCACTAACAGTTTGTGGATTTCATAAACTGTGAAGAGTGAGGATTTGTCAGTGTTTGCCTTGTGCAGTTGTGTGATGACTGATTGAAAGTTTTCATAATGTTATTTACTTGAAAAGTACAGAACAGGGGTTTGTTTGACATCGTGATTTTCAGTCCTGTACTGGGTGCCTTTTGTCAGGGAAAATAATTTGAATCCATCCTGGACAGCAATCCTGAAATGTTGCTGTGTGATAACATTGATCAAGTTTTTGCTCAGATTTCATTGCTCACGCATGAAATTTCTTCAAATGCTGCCTTGTTAATTGGGACAAAGTGGAAAGTTTGCTTTAAATGTATCACCTTCTCACTTTTGACCTGTCCCACAATGCTTTAGTTCACCACATCTGGCAGATTAATGAATCTCAGTGATTATGTAGGGTTAGTTTTGCTGAGTCATAAAGCTGCGTAAAGGATCTTCATTTTTAAAGTTCTTTATCTGAACCATTTATGAAGATTTAGGTCTGTTAATGTACATTACCTCAATGCACAGCACCATCTGCCTTAGCAAAGATGTCTTCTTGTCTAGGTAAGCGTCAGTATTTCTCACTGAGTTTTACTTGTGTCTGCACTTTAGTTCTTTTGTTTGCTGGTTTAACTTCCAGGTGTAATGGAGAACAAGTTTGATAGACTTTCAGCGATGTGAGCTTGGGAAGGTTGTCAGGTCTTGATCTATGTGTCCTGTTGTGTAACATGAGCATGACGATGGATATAGAAAGCAATAATTTAAAGATTATATGAATAAAAGATGAAATATTAAATTCTTGCCCACTTGTTTGCTTTGTTGGAAAAATTCTGATTTAGTGTTTCTGAAGCATCTTAAAACATCTTAAATTTAAATATGTTTGGGTTTCTCTTAATTTTGTTCATGTAATGCTATTTCTGTCCCACTTTAAAATTAGTTTGAGTAATGTCTGTGTGCATTCTGTAATGAAACTACAAACAAGATCAACATGGAACTGATAACCTACAGATACCTCAGTCAGCGTTTATCTTGGTGCACTCTGCTTTGCTGTGAGAGATTATGGATGCCTACTGTCTGGGCCTGTAGTTTATGATGAGTGGCTGTATCGAGGGTTGTGTTCTACTCGGCTACTCCCCCTTATCTTAAATTATGGGGAAGTGTCTGTCAATCTGGGTCTCTGATACTTCTTCATATCTGACTGGTTTTACAGTTCATTTATTATAATATGTTATAAATAAGATAAATCAAAACAAAGTGATTAATTATGGATAAAGTCAAATAATTTAAGAACTCATGCTGTGAATATGTGATGAATTTCTGCAAAATTATACTATTTAATGTTACATCAAATGTTAACACAAAATCTTAAATTGACTTGTTGAAACCTTGTGATCACAAATTCACAGGTAGTTTATTTTGTAGCAATACAAAAGCAAAAGAAGTGCAGTTTTATTTTGTAATAAGAATTAAGCTTTATAATTTTATTTCAAGTGCAATCATTTTTTTATTCTTATTTAATAATACTCAAGTCCCCACACATACAAATAGCATCTCATTTACTGGAATACAATACATAATATTTCATGGTGCTTCCTCATATCATTAATTAAATTGAATTTCATGTCTCTTTTTTAATTTCAGTTTTTATTCATTAGTGTCTCATCCGGCAGTGTCCTGTAACAAGCCATTATCCCTTTATTATTATGGTTCTGAGAAGAACATGGAGACACCAAAATCCTCCTTGTACAGGTCCCAGGTCTTGGGTTTGTGGGGGTTGTCCAGTTCATCCCTGGGTAGAAACAATCTGTCGGAATTCAAAGTTTAAAGTCAGAAACAGACACTTGAGTCAAGAGCAATGGAAATAATTTTATCACAGCAACAGAAACATACTTGTTGTTCTCTGTGAAGGACGTATTGAACCAGAAGTAGAACGGAACATCTTCGTATCCTTTTGGAAGACCCTAAATGTGAGAGACATTAAAAATAACACAGAGACTTAATTAAATCAATTTAAAATAAATTAAAAAGAGTAGAATAAAAGAGGTAAAATAAATAAATATTACAAAATGAGTAAAATAATACAAATTAAATAGATGTGTGAAATAATCAACTAAAAATAAAATGGTGACATGCCATTCAATTTTTTAAAATAGCTTAGTTAAAGACACTTAATAATAAAAATGTTTTCATTTAAAGTGAATGAATAAAAACAAAAGATAAACAGGATCATAGGACAAAGTAAAGTGAAGAACTCACAGCACTTGATTCAAACATGACTTTCACGTCTCCTTCCACCTCAGGCCCGTTATGTAGACTGATGACTGCTGCGTTATTGCCCACGTCAGGAAACACCTTCAAAAACACAGGAAGTAAATTAACCATCAAATCAACAAATGAATCATTGTGACCTAATGAGGTTTGAGACTCACTGTGCAGTTCTCCTGTTTGGCGCACACACATTGAAACACCAGCTCTTTCTTGACAATTATCTTCACCTTAAGATCGCTGCCATCCCCTTTACCCACACCTGGGAAAGAGCCCAAACAACAGATATTAACTTCCTCTTATTATTATGATGAAGTGGACAGTTTGAATGCTCTGCAGGTTTGCAGGGTTTTACCTGCTATAGAGTGTATGCGGATGCTCTTGATGCGGAGGGGTTTGGGTGGAGGCAGCTGCCTGTTGAACTTTGTTTTCATGATCTCATAGTACCCCACGTACCGGCTCTGTGGACCACACAGGTACAGAATTAAAAAAAACAACTATTATTTAATCAGTGTATAAGGCTTTATGAGGAAATTCACATATTACTGACAGATTGGGCACAGATCTGGACAAAAGGCTCTGGACAATCGTGTCATTCTGACGGAATAAACATTGTAAGTCAAGAAAAATTTGAAGAAAATGTGTCCTCTGTGTGATGCCTGTAGTCTCCCACTAATCATTACCGCTGCCGAGGGTTATGAGGTTATGTTGTTTATTGTTTGTTTGTCAGTCAGCAGGATTACTCCAAAACTACTCAACAGATTTCCATAAGAGTTTGTGGCACATGACCCAAAGAAGAACCCATTACATTTTGGAGCACATTTGGAAAAAACCCAGATCCAGGGATTCTTTTTTCTCTTAAATATGGTGACATAGGGTGCTAATCTTGGCAGAGATATGCACTCTCCAAGTACCTTTCTAATTTGTTTTTCAACCACAAGAAGGTGCTAGTCAGCAGTGTTATCTAAAACAGTCAGAATAGCTTTCTTCTTTCTCCAGAAGTATTTATGAGTATGTCTCCTGAGTGTCTGATTCTTACCTGAGACGGAGTCTCCACTCCCTGAAACTTGGAGCTGCGACTCTTATCTGTCCTCCTCTCACCAAAATATTCCAGACTGTCCTGGAGGACAAACAGAAATGAATCTAAGTCTGCAGCTGCAATTTCTTTAACCCTTGTTTGAACAGGTTTCAGAGTAGAAAAGACGTACTTGTGCACTCTCAAACTGGTCACTATCGATAAGCCAGGTGCACACCAGAGTACCTGTGCGTCCTGTCAGAGAGAGCAGAGACATAATCTGATCAAGTGTGGCTTTTAGCTAGACTAGAGCAGGGTACAAGAACAAAGGTTACACTTTTTCAACAGCAAAACTATAAAATTCAACTCAAATTCTTCACTAAACCACAATGAAACAAATGCAGATCTGTGGCTTCACCTTTCCCTCCTTTACAGTGGATTGCGATGATGTTTTTGGGATCGGCCGACATCCACTCCCTCACACTGGCTGTGTATTTCAGCATGTCCCTGAGACAGACGGTAAAAACACACGGTGATAAAGAAACTGACATTTGGTTTGTACTGTTTTGTGTCATCACAATGCATTATTTTAACAAGCTCTAATCTACAGTGCTTCAATATGATCACAAGCAGAAGGAAGCGGTGCAACAGAAAAACACACATCACAACAGAAACGGTTAACTCACTCCAGGGAGGGGACGTTGTGGTCGTCGATGAACACACGCTCAACTTTGTAGTGGAAGAACTGGGGGTCGTAACCTTTCTCACCTAGAAACAAAAATGATACCGTCTGTGGAGTTCCAAAGGCAATAGAGTGCATGTGATGAGAGGTGGTGCACACTTACTGCACAGGTTGTAAACTTTATAGTGGTCTTCATGTTTAGCGTCCAGGAACCTGGCTACCTCCTGCAGAGAGAGAGGAGGAACAGTTTAAAGCAGCTGAGAAAGGCTGTGTGAATTCATTTAGATATTAGTGTGTGTAATTATATCTAAAAAGTGAGGAGGGAATTTTTATCATGTTTATGCACGATATCCAGTCAGACTTACACCAATCGGATTCCTGTAGAAGGACTGTTTCCCAGAGGAGGGGAAAGACATGGCGATGACACGATCTAGAGAGGTGGGAAAAGATAGAAATCTATTTTTAAAAAGGTCTAACCTTTAGCAATTTCTTTTAGATGCATTGTCTGACATGCATTTTTGTGTTCCATACACCATGTAACTCCCACCTGTCACGTAGGTAAGGTCAAGGTCAAATCCATCCTTCTGATAACGCCGCTTGTTCTCAGAAACCTGACATGACGAACACAAGTCAAAGATCAGGGATTAGCGGACATCTTCTCTCTAATTTCCAACCGTGATTCTCTCAAACAGATTTTAATGCTTCATATATTCATGGTTTGTTTCCTGTGCTTCTGTGGTGTGACCTCACCATCCTCCTGGTGACTTTCTCAAGCTCCTTCTTCTGCGCTGCCAGTCTGAAAAGTCTCACCAGGATTATTATTCTCAGGAAACGGAGAAACGTCACCACCCTGAGGAAAAACAAATGACTCCTTTTATTCATTAAACAATGGCCAATATATTAATGGTGTTAAGTATAAAAAACTTAACATTTTATTTTTTTAAGAATATTATATCAGGATTAGATAGAATGGTAGAAATCTATATTACTGTTTAAATACCAGTATATTCTCAACATGGCTTATAGATGCAAAATGTTACATATATTTTTATTTTCACTGTACCGATTATTATTCAGTCTCAGGATAAACATAATATAATACAGTTACAATATAATGTTTTGGTTTGCGTAATATAAAATGTTTAGCCAAAGGCAATGTGTATCACTTTATCAATACTGAATAAAAGTATAAAGTAATAAATATAAAAATTATATAATAAATATAAAATACTAAGCACTACATTATTATTGCAGAGACCTTGCAGGATAATTAAAGTAAATGAAGCTCCCATAGAAAAGGGGTGCAGTGTTTTCTATTATTCCAAACAGCAGGATTCTTCATCTGGGCTTTATATATTTTTTTAAATTGAAGCCCTGATCAATCGTTGATCACTGATTAGATCTACAGCCAGACTGAATCTAGGCAGAGCTCTGCTGGAAATAACAAGCTATCACCAAACTGTGGACTAATACCAAGGACTGTGGTATAAACTGCACCACCCTAACAGAAGGGTGAAGCATGTACCTGGGGATGAGACTGGCTCCTGACAGGTCAGAGAAGGTGTAGATCATGGTGACCACCAGCGTGATGACCACAACGCAGGCGTCTATGATGTTCAGCTTGGAGCTGAAGTAGACTTTGAAGCTGAAAGGTGGCGTGACACACTTGAACATACTGCTGAGAGAACTGACCGAATCATGCGACAAGTTGAATCAACCGATTTATTGGATTTAGCTCTCTTAGCCATCATGCTTCCCAAGGACCAGCCCAATACAAGCCCTACATTTCCTGTTCAGCTTCCCCTTTGCAACTTCCTGTTTAACAGCGAATCACTCTCT